AGCCACTGGGTTGCATTTGGTGCCCTCTGCAGGAACCATGAATAGAAATCTTTCTTAACTCCTCTTGGGACTTTTATCTGGCCAGGAAAAATGCCAGAGCTGGGAGGGGCCTTGGAGATCATATGGCCCAGTGTTCTCAGCCATGGTGGAGACATGGGGTATATAGATGTAGTACACTGTTGGCATTAGTAGCCCCAATTCTTCCCATCTCCCTGTATCTGCACCGTTTCTAATGTTCTTGGCAACTCCTCCCATCAACTGGTGGGGTGTATTTCCCCACCCTTTGATTCTGAACTTGGCCCTGTGACTTGCTTTGCCCAATGACACATTTGCAATTGTGACAGCATTTCATGTTTCCTCTCACTCTTGCACCTCTACCTTTGCCATGACAGCATGCCCGGGTTAGGTTACTGGAGGACAAGACACAGGGAGCAGGGCCGAGTTGCCCCAGTTGTGCTGGCCAAGGCCATCCTAGATCTGCTGAACCTCTGTCAACTGCTGGGCATATGAGGGAGCCAGTCAAGACCAGAACTGTCTGGCCAAGGCCAGTCTAAACTGCCAATCTAAATTGCCAATCTACAGACTTGTAGGCAAAGTAAGTGCTTACTGTTTTGAGCCCTGGAGTTTGGGGATGGTTTGTTACATACCACTATAGTGGCAACAGTTAACTGAAGGTAAAACGCCCTTAGGTGACGAATGCACACCACCACTTCCCCACTGAGAAGGCTCAAGTCTAACTCCTAGTTCCATCTGAGAATAGGCACCAGCTGCAGAATAAGAAGCAGAGGATTCCTAGACTAGTTCTCTTAACATGTAGTATTACTCAATCCAAATTTATTGAGACATCACAGAGAAATTAAAAATGAATATGTTCACTGCTCACCAGGGAGTTGACAGTCTAGCAGGGCGGCCAAGACCACAGGCAGATGTAGGCATTGCTGAAGCAGAGTGTGCAATGGAAACAGGAGGGCAGGATCACTTCCAGCTGAGTGTGCGTGTGTGTGTGTGTGTGTCATGGCATTCCAGGTGGAAGGGATGTGGTGAACTAAAATGACTGCAGGATGCAGGATGTCTAGGGATTCAGTTTAACCCTTGCATGGTTCCCAAACCCAAACCTAAGTCTGCCTTTCCAGGCCATGTAAAGTGGCCTCAAATGCCATGTGGCTTGCTAAAGCCATCCTTCAGTTTTGAACTTCACGCCTTTTTAAAACCGAGATGTACTTTGTAATGATCAAAAACACCAAGGTAAAAAGGAATCAACTTAGTTAGCTAATTAGGCTTGGGCACAAAGTGTTCTTAAAAGAACTCTACATTAGCTGACTGGTTAGCTCAGTTGGTTAGAGTGTGGTGCTGACAACACCAAGGTCCAGGGTTCAATATTCAATTCCTGTACCGGCCAGCCACCAAAAAAAAAAAAAAAAAAAAAAAACCCCACATTGCTTGCTGATTTCTACTAAGAAAAAAAAAACCACCCTTAATTGCTTGTTTTTTTTTAAAAAAAAAAAAAAAGTACCCTACATTGCTTGCTGATTTCTACTAAGAAAAAAAAAACCACCCTTAATTGCTTGTTTTTTTTTAAAAAAAAAAAAAAAGTACCCTACATTGCTTGCTGATTTCTACTAAGAAAATAAAAACCACCAAGACATTAAGTGGATTGCTGACCTTCATTCTTTATTTAAATATAATGATCTTTTATGATAATAAACCAAAAAAACACTTTACACAGCAAATGTCTTACATAAATGTAAACATGCATGTCTACTTTATAATTAAGCAAATAAACTTTTAGGCACAAGATTTAAAAAATCATTAAAGAATAAGACAATACACAAGACAAATAACAGAAGCAACAAAAACACACATTTCATAACGCTTCAATTGGTCTTGTCTTCCAACCTACTGGTTAAGGCCTGAGTTTCAGAAATCCTATCTTCCTTGCCAAATGGAAATATCCAATTTAGCTGTACCTAATATATATCCACATAACAGACTAATTCTCTTTCAAAATAATGTAATAAATACATCACACACACACACACACACACACACACACACACACACACACACACACACACACACACACACACACACACACACACAC